TCTATGAAATAGCAATGTCTGGAGTCATCTAAGAGTTCTTTTGTTTCACTGAGGCTTTCTGAGTTACATTCACTTATGCTTACTATGATTTACCATTAATGTAACTGTGCAAAAACAAAAAGCCATTAAGCTTGGAACCTGGTGTTCTTGTCCTTTGTCATTAGAAATTTTTTGAGATACCATAAATATTGATATGGATTCATGTAGAATTCCAGTGATTCATTACATAGGAGGTAACACCAGCTTTTGTTTAGGTTTTTGTTGCTTTTCCCTGCTCAAATGTGCATGTCTAGTTTGGCGGAGCACAGGATTAATGGCTTCCTGTGTCAATACTTACAACATCCCCATGAGATAAGCAACCCCACGGATACTTTTCATGAGAACAAATAGAGGCATTTAATACTTAGAAGGCTTTGCCTAAAGTGACACTGTTCATTGGTGGGAACTCATTTGAACCCATGTGCTGATTTCAGAACCCACGGTTTAAAATCTCTTGCCAGGTGGCATGACAAGAACCCTTTCCCCTTTGCTTCCAATACATCACAATACCAGACAAATTCCAAATGAGATAATGTAAAGTTAAAGCAATACTCAAAAAAAGATATCAAAGTATAAACTACAAATTAGTTGAAGCCTGGCATGAAAAGCAGACAACTTCACACACTTTCAAGTAAGCTGGGCTTCACTGGACTTCCACATTTGTCCCACAGTGAGCAATGCCTGGTGCCAGTTTTGCTGATGGAACACTGAAGGTGATTTAACTGAAGTTGAGTGACTGCAACCACTCCTCTTCCCTCCCCTCAGCTGTTGCTTACATAGCAAAACCATGTTTATTTTATTTTGTAACTATGTGTGTGCATTTGTGTCTATGTGTAGAGGTATCTGCACATGAGTGCAGTTGCTCACAGAAGCCATAAGAGGATACTGGATGACCTGAAGCAGGAATTTTAGGTAGCTGTTAACACCCAGAAACCTGTGCTTGTGCATGAACAGTCCTCTGGAAGAGCAGCAAGCATTCATAGCTGGAAAACCACCTCTGTCCAACCCCAGAAATTTCTTAAGGAACATAAAGAGTCTTGATCATGCAGCCAGAACTTGTGTCAAAGTGCTCTTTGACATATTAACTAGATCTAGAATATGCTCATTACCCAAGATTGTGGACTGGGACAGAGAACATACAATGCTAGCTATAATACCTTAGGACTCTATTCAAGGGCTAGAAATAGAATTTTTAAAAAATCTCTCGCTTAATTTGATCCACAAATCAAAATCCCAATGCATGAGAGAATAATAGTAAAAGGATAGGGGCTATAGAAATCACTCCTTAGTAAAATACTTGTGGGGACAAAAGCATGATGAAGTGAGCTGGATCACAGCACTCAAATATAAAATTGGGTACAGTGGCTCATGACTGTAATCCTAGTATTGGTGGAGGAACTTGGAGGTTTGCCTGACATTATTCTAGCTGGTGAGAGATCTCCAGGTTCAGTAAGACACTCTCTCAAAAAATGTGGCAGGGAATAATACAGAAAAACACTCAATATTGTCCTCTAGTCTTCATGTACATAGACATATAATCTTTCAAGCTACTCTAGATGATGCAAAAATCATGGAGCAGGTTCAGAGTGACTTCAGAATAAGCATAATAGGATCCTCCAAGAGACAATGAAATAAATACCACGTATAAAGTGACAATTAATGAAATGAACATCATTCTTAGAAAAGAATCTTTTTGAATCCCCCCAAAATGTAGTTAAAATACATTTTGTATGGTTTTATATAGTGGACATAGTTTAAAAAAGAATTAGCAAATTGGAAGATATCTCTGAGTAATCTACCAAGAGTCTAGCACAAATCAATATGTAAAAGATGGAAGAGAATTTCAGAAGTGTTTATGCTGCATGATGGAATTTTAATGTAGCTTACAGAGAACTGCACAAGAAAATTGAAGTCAATATTAGAAGGAAGACTACTTGAAAAGAAAATATGCAAGTTTTCTATTTCTTACAAAAGTTAAGGCTCCTAAAGCCAAAGTGTTTACAAAGGTGAAAACCCTCTCTGAGCATAAAGGAAAGTAATAAATACTGCTGTTCTCAGGGACAGGATTTTGAGAATCCTTGATGTGGATGGAATAAATCATCTTTAAAATAAATTCACCAGCCCAGCTGAAATACAAATACAGTAATGAGGTAACCTTCTTGATGAGAGCAGATCCAGGCTTGCTGTTACAGATTTCTTTTGCTACAGGGGTCAAGAAGGAACCTGACGTTTAGTGGACATGAGACGGAAGAAGTTCACAGAGGCTAATAACCCCAGCCCATATCCAGTTCATTCTGGAACCCTCTGTGTGAGCTCATGAGTTCAAGCACAGTGAGAAACACACTCTGCTTTGGTGTTTAGAAGGATAGTTAATCACCAACATGGGACAAGTATGCCTGACAAGTGTTGATCTACCATTTGTAATATATTCTGCAAAAAGTTCCTTGTATTACCCTTTAAATCTTTGGGAAAGTACTATTACCCCTGTTTTATTTAGCAGTATCAAAAAATACTTTTTAATGCACTGTACTTATCTGTTGTGTACTTGTGTGTAGATTCTAACCTACACAAGAATAACATTAATCATGGCACTAGGAGGGAGAATGTTATAATACAAAGTTAAAAGCATGTACGCAAGATATGTGTGTATGTGTGTGGTGTTCAGGGAATATATATATATGAATATATGATTATTGAACACCTACTGTTTCCTACTGACTGAACAAAAACACTGTGAAAACCAAGGAAATATTAGCATTTTGTAAAAAAATATATACACCTTAAAAATACAGAATTAAAATGATAACATGACTGATTTCAATTTTTTAATAAAATTTCTCCATCACCCACCAGTAAGAAAATATGACCAGCAACAATTAAAGTTAATGCTTTAAGATTAAATACTTAAATGCTAAGCAGACCTTTCTATCTTTTGTTCCCTGCAACTCACACACTTGTAATGGGAAATCCATTCTTTTGCAGCCCCTCCCTGTAGTACGCTGGCTTCCTGGGCTGTGTTGAAAAATAATAAGCTTACCTTGTAGTTCTAGATTTTGAATTGGTTTTGAAGGAATAATATGAGTACATTTTTTTCAACCATAATCGTCAAAATGTCTGTCTTTTTCATAAATTCTTGATGCACCTTCTCTTTTTTCAAGGTTTCTAAAAGCAAGGCACATTTCTTGCTATTTGCATTGATTTAACAAAAGTCCTTACGAAATATATTCCAGGTGCTTTGGGGCTAAGAACACAATTTCTCAAAATACGTAAATGGAAATCATTGTTTTTCTCTCTTAACAAAAAAAGAAAAAGTTTTCCCTTTCTAGCTACAAGAACAAACAGGAACTGGGACCAGGGGGATGAAAGAGGGAATGTAACAGGTGGCAAGGGCATAATGCACTTATTTCTCCCAGGAAAGAATGTGTGTGCCACATTTTTGCTTTGATAACACAGCTCAGGTCACATCACAGAACTAACTTGTCTTTCTTGCACATAATCTCTGTACAAAATGCCAGACAAGGGCTCAGCTATGCCAACAGTTGACAGGTTTCCATGAAGCTTGCAAAAGAGTAGCTAAGTAATGCTACAAAATGACCTTGTAACTGAAATCACACTCTGACACCCTTTAATGCTTTTCTCCCTTCATTTCAGGGCTGGAGCTTCACCCTGACTGCTTTTAGTTTATTAATTCACTTTCTCAAACAGAGTGAGAGAGTTTGAGAAGGGAAGCTGTCTCAATGTAAATTCTATCCTTAAAACAAGTAGGCAAAATTGCATTACCTCCAACTTTGTAAAATGTTTAAATGAGAGTGAAACACAGACATGAGACCTCTCTCAAAACAGCGAATTGATGATACATTCTCCACTTCATAAAGCACAAATACTAAAGCAGTAAAAACTGATTTGCTAATGTAGTGAACAACATCAATTTTATTTTAGCACTAACTACAAATGTAATTCTGAACTTGGAGCTTTGGAATGAGAAAATTAAATCTCCTCTGCTCACATTTCTGGGTGTGCTTGCAGGCTCAGATTTTCTTTGAACAACAACAACAAAAACCACATTGCAAATAGGATTTAGGTATGATTAAACTAGGCATTAATCACAACTTATACTCCGGGGTTTTGGTTGTGCTTGGGAGGTTTAACTTTAGAAAACATGAGCTTTCTAACCTCCATGGTTTTTGCACTGAAACAAGAACTGCTAAGCAGTATTTCAACACAATTCTTCAAAAAGAAATGTGTGCAAAGTTTCTACCACACAATGCGAGCGAACACGATCAACAGAACAAAAGAAGTTTGCATGCTGCTACTCAAAAAGGGCTTTTAAGGAGTCCTTCCCAGGAATACTCCACACACACCACTGGAAGCGTAGGGGAAATCAAAGCCCACTTACTCTTCAGTGTGTAAAGACATACTTCCTTTCTTATTTTACATTAAAAATAAGAGGGTTCGCCGACAAGTCTTGCTTGGGGCCAGTCAGCTAAGCTAGGGCCCTGACCCTTACCCTGGCCAGGAATGTTCACACAAAGCTCTTTCCAAAGGTCTGTGCTGCACATTTCTGAGATAAGGCACCAAAACATGAAGCCATTGCCAACTGACACAGAAGTTGGACTAAATGAAATGTTTACATATATCCTGTCTCGTGTTTCTTCCTCATCCCGGCAACACATGATTTCTAAATCTATAATGACTCTGACTGCAGAAGAGCAGGACTTAAACAAAAGGAAAACTGGAAGAGAAAAAGACAGGACAATTATAAATACTGTATTTCTCTTTTCAGATTGCCAAAATCATGTGAAATCAAGCAGAGACAAAGCCACATAACTTTGGGATTTCTAAATATTCTTACTGGCTTGTCCCCCTTGCCCCCTCCCCCCACCCTGAAAGCATCACAGATTTCTTAGCTTGCATTACAACCCAGAAAGAACATTTGAGTAACGTCTTAAATCTGCACTCACCGTGTGAAAGCAACAGTTGCGGAGAGTAAAAGTGTGTTTTTTCCTGTCCCCTGTTCCATCTCAGTTTTGACTACAGTTGTCCAACAACCAAAAGGCCGGAGCCGACACCCAGAGGCCCCGTCCATGAGCGGGTTCATTTGCCTGTCAGTCTGGACGCTGGCTTCTATACGCTGCAGCTGTGTACTTTCCTGAAGTCCTAATACAATTTCCATGTGTTTCCCACCGTCTCACACAGGTGATCTGGCCTTTCAGTCCAAAGAATACGCAGAACACTTTTCAGGTGAGGCTGTAGGATCTGGCTTTAAATTGTCCACCCTCAAGTTAAGGAATTCTTGGTGGGTGGAGAGAAGCAAGCTCACTACAGGGAACTCGGGCTGTAATCAGACTGCAGAAACTTCCTCTGTTTTCCTGCCTTGCAGGCTGAGCGGCTGGTGCCTCTTTCGCAGAACTTCGGAATGTACAGGGAGGACGCAAAGGGGCCCTGCCAGACAAGCCTTTCTCAATCAATTAGCTTGCAGCCATTACTTGTGACCTGAGGTCACACAGCATAAGTGTGTAGGGTGTGCCTTCAGGGGTCCCTAGGCTACTTACTACAGCTAGATAGCCAAAGCAGAGCAGACCCTGAATTCTAGAAATGTTTTAATAGGAAATATGCTAAAAATGCAAAGTAAATGAAAGGGAAATCCGAGTGTCTTTTTGAGTAGGCATTATTGAATTTAATGAACCCAAAACAATCATTTTCCACATTGGATCAAAGAGCATTTAGGACAGAGTAGTGATATGGTTCCTTTATAGTATATGCCAGGAGATGTGGAAATGACAAATAACTCATATGAGCAATCACATGATTACCAGAACATACATTCCTTGTATTGCATAGATACTGAGGTTTTGCTTTAGACTTTTAAAGAATTTTGATGCATAATTTAAGTATAAACAAACTTCTTGGTGCCTTAGGAAAGGACTTCTCTTTGAGGGCCTCTGGTGAGACTCCACAGAACATTAACATCACAAATTCTCTTATTTTCAGAACTATATTAATTATAATGTCCTCTAGTTCAGAAAAGTGCATCTCCCCTTTGGAACACTTCAAATTGGGAATTGATCTGAATATCCATGAAACACTAAATAAAAATTGGATGTTGTAAAACTATGTCTTCATTTTATACATGAAGTTTTTGTATCCTTCAAAAATACTTTATAATAATAGCTATCATTATTAAAATTGTAACAAGGAAGTGTAAAGTAATGGTACACCAAGCCAATCCATCCTTTTGAATGATCCAACCAAGTTAAGGAGCTCATGATTTTACAGATTGGATCAGACACCCTTCCCTCTCACAGAGGCTGTCACTCAGAGACAGAGATAGATGGCCAATGCTCATTCCTTCACCCTATTTACTAGGTAATCCCACAGGCACATAAAACATCATCCAATTCAGACTGCTTGGAAAATTCTTACAGATCCTGAAGGTCTATATATTTCATCACCTATCACTTAGCAAACTGAATTAACTTCAATTAGGGATCATCTGATGTAAATCAAACAAATTCAAATTAAAATAAATGCATATGAAATTCGTGATTAAATAATACTTTCTACTAAATACAGCCTCAATTTTGAAAATACAGAAACAGACAATATAGTTGTAAGTATTAAAGCTAGCTCTAGTTGGGTTGAATGCAGAAACTGGGTTTTCCACGTTCTCAAATATAAAACACATAGTCATTGATAGGTCTATATATCACCTCTGAGTAGGTTTTAGAAAACAAAGAATAGAAGACGTTTGACATCTTTCAGTGAATCCATCATGTCTGTTTTGCAAACTGAAATTGAGCATCATTGGAAAATATACCTACTAGTAGACATAAGCCCATGGAGGGTGCTACACATCAGTGCTACACCATAATCTGTGTTGTACTTTCATTTTTTCTCTTTTCCTTTATGCAAGATTAACAGCTAATTTAAGAGTCAACAAAGTCACCTAGTGTTATACTTTAGATGCCTAGAGTCATATAGTTCAGGATATGACTTTCATTGTAATATAACTTCATTGCACATGAAATGAAGGATTTTCCTTTAAGTTCAGAAAGGTCACTAATATCCCATACAAAGCATAAAACACATACCAGAACTTGAACAGGAGTTGATGATTTCCCAGGCTATAATGCAATTTTTATGGCCAGTTTGCCAGTTTTTATGTGGCCACAGACATTTCTGAATTACACACGGGTTATGAAAATAATCCCCTTTGCTGAAGTCTGGTATTACCCGAGAAAGATCACTACCAGGACACTATTAAAAAGAGTTTGTCAACTTAAAAACATCAACTCTTTTCTTTACGGAGAAAAAGGTCTGGTACTCTAGATATGCTGATGATTTAATCAAACATGGTAGATCATGTTCGGCTGAATTCATTTAATTACAAATTATCTCCACTGTCCAAATCATGTTACTATGTGAACAGTACCTTACATATTTAGAGAGGCTAATTTAGAATACATTCTGTAATAGTTAATGATTCATTCCACTTAGGGATGAAAATTAATAGACTTCCATGTAATCTAAAAGACTCACATAATAACAAGGTATTAGCTATAAATTGCATATTAATATTTTATATTAATTATAATATTTATCTACATATACTTTCACTCATGTTTAGAATGTTTAGAAAAGGGCCGTTTTTCCTGGGGAAAAAGAAAATAAAATGTTTAAGAAAATAATACAATAAATTTCTAGGAGTTGAAGATATAAGTCCATAGTAGAATGCTTGTTGGCTTAACCAAGGCCCTATGTTCAATTCCAACCTGTAGAAAATGAAAATTTTCTAGACTTCTATGACAAGTGATAAACAGTCTATACGCACTAGTCAAACCCAGCCAACTTTTGGTTAAAATAGCTCAGAGAAAAAAAAGTTGAAGCTCAAAGACTCAGATGAACTCAGTATTCTCATTGCTACTCTTAATTTTGATTTGGTTTTTTTTTTCTGTAGCTTCTTAGTTAGGTTTTCTATTGCTGTCTAGGGACACCATGACCACAAAAAGGGAAATAATTTAATTGGGGTGGCTCATTTACAGTTTCAGAGGTTCAGTCCATTATCTTCAAGGTGGGGAGCAGATGGCCTTCAGGCAGACATAGTGCTGGCTACACCTTGATCAGAAGGTAACAGGAAGGACTGTGACACTTGGCCATATCTTGAGGGTATGTCACATGAAAGCCTGCCCCCACAATGACACACTTCCTCCAACAAGGACATTCTGACTCCATCAAAGCCACATATCTTGATCACCTAGAGCTGGAGTTCCAGGCAGTCGTGAGCTGCCCATCCTGGGTGCTGGGAACCCAGCTCAGGTCCTGGATAAATAAGTAAGTGCCCTTAGCCACCGAGTCTTCTCAACTGCCCCCTGCTACTTTCCTTAAACTGAGCTTTTCCAAATCTAGCTGTGCGTAGAGGTGACATTTGCTGTGTCTTGTTTGCAGCATCATTATTACTTTCTACGCAATCCATAATCAGAGTTTCATGTTTCTTTTTGATCCAAAATTGTTGAAGTGTTGGTTTGTTTTATTTTTTATCTTGTTCAGGCATGCACATCTTCTGTCCTCACTGAAATGTCTCATGACCTAGTACATGGCATATAATATGATATGCTGTCAGACTTTGAGAAAAAAGCATTTTTACATGTAAGATATAAATTCTTCTGTCTTATAAATCATTTTTATTATATACATAAAAAATTAAGTTACCATCTTTAAAAAAAGTGTGTGTGTGTGTGTGTGTGTGTGTGTGTGTGTGTGTGTGTGTGGTCATATGGACTTGTGAGATCAAAGTACATAAAAGGGTAGTGAGGATCATGGAGTCACAGGCAGTTGTGAGTTAGTGGACACAGACACTGGGAAACAAACTCAGATCTGCAAGGACAGAATGCGTTCTTAACCACTGAGCCATTTCTCCGCCTCATAAAATTGTAGTCTTAATAAAAAAAAAAAACAATACTCAAGCATCAAAATATCCATAGCAAACTGCATTCCTGTTTGCCACAATTATTTATAGTTGCTTCTCTATTTCATTATACTATGTTTTCAATTAGGTGTATTTTAAGAAAAAAATCATTAAACAATAGGAGAATCAGGCATTACCAATTTAGGTATCTTGAGTATTCTAAAATTATACACATAGATAACTTAAAACTTTAAACTTATTTTTCGTTATTTGCACTCTAGTTAAACAATACTTTTAAAGACTCTTTCAAAATTGATTTTAGAAAGGTCCCCTTCTTTAAATTTTATTGCTTTTGCCACATTCATTGCTTACATCTTAAAATGTTAAGTGCATACGTAAAATTATATCCCTTTATGCATTTGGCCTTTGTTTCCACTCTAAGAGCATATGGCAAGAGTCATCTCTTTTAGTCAGTGACAAATGCCCCTCCCCAGAATGCACTGCTTTGACCCTTAATTAGATTTTCCCAGACCATCTAAAATAACTCATGTCCGAGACTCTCCCTGTCTGCCTGTGTCCCAAGGGATTTGATAGGAGAAGGAAAGCAAGGCAGTGTAGGACTGTTGCTCAGGGTGTGTGTTGCTGAACTGGTCAAGAGTGGAGGAGCGGGGGAGGCTGCATTTTAAAAGAACAAATGAAGCAGAGAAAAAGAAAGTCAACACTCAAACACAGAAACACTTCACAATAAACTAAAATAAGAAGACTTAGTTATTGAGTGAGTTAGAACAGGTGGTCCAAAAACACCTAGTCAAAGAGCAATTGTTTCACAGCGATGTGTATGACAAGTTGCCTAGGTACTGTCATTTAAACGTGTAGAAACAGAAAAAAAAATTTAAGTGACAATGAGGAGAGGAAGAATAAGATGGACTTTCATAATTATAACAAGTCAAATCAGACTAGAATGAGGGTTACTGGGAAGAAACAGGGAGGATGGCTACATAAAAGGCTCAGAATGTACACATTTGATAGCTCCGACATGTGTTCTTAGATCCAAGAATACAACCTTCAAAGAAGAGTGCAGGAAATGAACTAGATGAGCTGGAGGGCATATCAGAGGCTGTAAAAAAATGAGCCTGATTCAGACAGACAAAACTAAAGGCATTTGTACAATGTGAGAGAGCAAGGAAAATCCCACACCATGAAGAAGCACCATGCGTCTCCAGTACTGTGCTGAGCAGTGGAGCTAAAGGCTGAAGCTGTTGAAGGGGGCCAAGTTGATCATCTTCAAAGGAAGTTCTTTGTGTGGACAGGGCCATACTGGAGCCCTCACCCAGTTTGCCTCATAACACATATAACATGCTAAGAATACCTACTCTAAAGGTCTAGCAGGCTGAGAGCTGAACCAACCAGGAGTCTGACAGTTG